GATTTTTAACAAGAAGTCGAAAATATCACTTTTTACCAAAAATGACAAAAATATTCACCAAAATTAGAGAATTGAAGATATCATCACAAAATGAAAAAATCTGAGAGAGGTCCACATGTAGTACCTATATATGTAATATCAAAGCAATCGGACTTGCGGTTTTTAACAAGAAGTCGAAAATATCACTTTTTACCAAAAATGACAAAAATATTCACCAAAATTAGAGAATTGAAGATATCATCACGAAATGAACAAATCTGAGAGAGGTCCACATGTAGTACCTATATATGTAGTATCAAAGCAATTGGACTTGCGGTTTTTAACAAGAAGTCGAAAATATCACTTTTTACCAAAAATGACAAAAATATTCACCAAAATTAGAGAATTAAAGATATCATTACAAAATGAACAAATCTGAGAGAGGTCCACATGTAGTACCTATATATGTAATATCAAAGCAATTGCACTTGCGGTTTTCTAACAAGAAGTCGAAAATATCACTTTTTACCAAAAATGACAAAAATATTCACCAAAATTAGAGAATTGAAGATATCAACATGAAATGAACAAACCTAAGAGAGGTCTACCCAAGGTACATATACACCAAGTATCAAAGCATTCAGGCTTGTAGTTTTCAAGAAGAAGTCGAAAAAGTAAAACATTGACACGACGACGACGACGGACGACGACGGACAATCACTCATATGATAAGCTCCGCTCGACAAAGTCGACAGCGGAGCTAAAAAGTAAAACATTGACACGGACGACGACGACGGAAAATCACTCATATGATAAGCTCCGCTCGACAAAGTCGACAGCGGAGCTAAAAATTAACCATGGCCATTGGAGGATGTAGAGCATGCTACAAACAAAAACACCTGCCACAAAATGGATTCTTAAATGTAATATACCAATGACAGTTTGATACAAGCAAAGATTAATGAAAAACAACAATTGAAAATAAATGTTAATATGACCCAACTCAACTCACAATAATTATTACTTTATGGGATCATACCAGCTAGCAGAATAGCAGTTTTATCTGAGTGTTCACATGCAACTGGCCAATTAAAGACCTTTTATTGTTTTTGGATGTTACCAAATTTATTTTTAATTTATTAAATATTTAAAAATTCAATTGCTGATTGATGATCACATCAACCGGTGTGATACGTGATGAGAATCTCAATTCGTAATAACTTGAATTACATGATCACAAAATTGCAAGACAAATGTGTACTGTCAATTACTTTATTTCCGCTTGGAATTTATTTTCGCTATTTTCACTGAAAAGATGATTTAATAAAAATGAAATTCTGCAAATATACTTTTCTCTTATATTTCACGCTCAAGTCATCAAGAATCAGTGAAAATAAATTCCATACAAAACAACCAAAAAGCCTTTTCAGTGAAAATTAATTACAGCTAAAATAAAGTATTTAACAGTATTTTACAGTGAAAGAATTGGTTTGTGTTTGTTTCAAACTTTTTTTTACAAATGTCTGTGTATGTGCACATTGCATGCATTTTGCATTTTTGAATGCGGCGATAATTCTGCTGATTTCCGATTACGCAATCAAACATTTCAAAGCATCCATCTTTCATGATTTGTTAGAAATACGTTCGATTGACACGCACGCAGAAAGAAATCGTCGTTGCGTATCATCTTACATACAGCTAAATATCCTATAGATTGCATAGCCAGATCTTATAAATCCTTGCTACAGACTAGTCATTTGCACTTGGCAATGCACATGTACCGGAATACAAGTCATGAGAGACATTAGTCACATTGAATGTCTGTGGTATACTGTGATAATACGCTCTAGAAGTTACTAGATTCCCTGAAGTGACTGTACCCTAAACGCAATACTTACTGTGAAATAGTACGGTGCATGGCCAGGTTTCTCAAAAGAACATCTATATACAAAATTAGGCTTGCCAGTCTCTTTGAGATCCCAGGATTTTTTCCAGGAAATCCCTGAATCGCACAAACGGTAACTAAAAACATAACAAGAAATTTAGTTAAAAAATGATTTCAAGCTTTTCAGTTTTATGATAATAAATCATAATTTTTTTGACAATGATGCAATGAGAAACTAAGAAAAATGTACAGACAAATTTTGGCGAGAAAGTCTGGCGGTGAAAAAGTTAACATAAATTCTTCTGAAAATACTTCCAAAAAAGCCCATTTTTGTGTGCTTTGAGACAGTTTTCTCCAGAAAATAGTTCTGACTGAGTAAAATAATTAAAAAGTTGATGACTCAACATGAATCAACAATTAAGTAATACTTTTTAAACCCCAAAACCATGTTTTGGTCAATTCTTTTTCTCTCATTATCATCTGCTGAAAGCCTCTGTATGGACAACAAAATAAATGGGAAAAAATCAAGATGTTGGTAATCTCTGGTCGTGTGGACATCTAATATAGATCTACATGTAATCTAATGAAAAGGAATGCAAAGTACTTACTGCATATCATGTGGTTTGGCAAAGATATTTTGTCCATGTGACGGGACCAATGGAACAGTGCCAAGTTCATTAGCACCAACACTACCAAAATGCATCATTTCATTGCTACTACCAGTGCTGTACAGATCCATCGCAAATGGCATATGATTATGTACCTGAAGATAAAACATGATATAGACTCAATACTTTCAAAGAAGCAGTTTTAATTTGGTCATAATAATTAGTGCCTTCCACTCTCTTGTTATAGAGTAATGACACACCATTTGTTTTCACTAGTTTCAGAATGATCATTGATGAGTGAACCACTCAATAGTACAACTATGTATTCCAGTTTGCAGTTAGTTTCTTGAAGAAGTTTCCAGTTTACAATTTTTAAGGATTCTGAGAACCATATGCAATACAATATCGACAAAATTAGTACAAAAACTGAAAATGATGAATCTAAATAAAGTGAATTAATGAATTTATTAAGAAGTTAATCTAAAATGATTTACCCTTAGAGGTGACCTGATGTTGACAATTTTACTGCCCATATCTGCCTCCACATCAATAACAATAGAGTACAAGATGTGAGGATAGCCTTCCGTTTGCTGAAGATTGTACAGCCGTCTACCCGCTCTATGGATGGGAATGTTGAAGATTTCTTTGAAATCTTTTACCTGCAATGCAAGCAACGTTGTGAGAAAATACAAACAAAAACAGAAAAGTTAAATGGATATTCCAATAATTACTGATTATTTTGATTTTACATTGTAGGCATCCATATGTTGAAGCCAGAAATGTTCGTGATTTAAGGAAAACATGTTTTTTGTTGTTGTTTTTTTACTATTTCATTCTTGCACACAACAAATATAATTTATAATATCTTAGTGTTTGTATGTATTTGTGTGATATATCACTGAGGGAGAACTTACAAGTACCTGCAAAAAACTGAAAGACCCCCATTTCTGTCGCTAAGCAACCAAGCATCCATGGTACGCACACAGGACATGAAACTCATCTGTTGTGTGTCATGCTTTACCAGCAGTTTATTTTCACCATAAAATATTAAAAATCAAAGTTGATATAAATTTTATATTACTAACCTGTACAGATATTTCCCTTCTCATGTCAGAGAGGTCTTTTTTGAGGAATGACCGCTTGCTAAGAAGTGACTTGACCGCTGTACTGGGATTCAGGGGAAGTTTTTGTTCCGGTTTCATAACAATTCTACCGTTAGATTCTTTACTCTCCTGGATAAAATATAAGATTATGATTACAACCCTATATTTGCATTGACTTTCTAAATCTTTATTGAGTAATTGCGAATGAGAAAGTTATTATCAATGAGATATCATTTGATAACACAAAATCATATCTTGTTTTTGTAACAAACTTTAAACAAAATCTGTCAATCTATGTCAAAGAAACGGCTAAGAAGTCATACACTCATAGACAAATAAAACTAACATGGCTGCCAGTTGGACATTTTTAATTACAAAGCAAAACTTTGTGCATACTGTTCATATCAAGTTTGAACAACATTAGTCTGCGAATGGTTGATGATGTGTTAAAATTTTATGAATTGAGTTTTTTTTTGGACATCAACTGAAAAGAATATTCACAATAAATTTTTAAAATTATAATTTTTAAGAATTCAACCAAACGGGAGTACCTAAATGTACATGCCATAGATGTGAATTTTGTTAACGGCCTCAGAACTTCAATATCAATATGTAGCAACTTTGTATTACGATGTTTTCAAAGACACGATTATGAATGAGTAAATGTAATTTGTAATATTATAGTTTGACACTGCATGCTGATAAATACCTAAAATATTGTTTTATCAGTTAGTATTCGTACAATGACCAGGCTTAAAATCCATAATAAGAGCTAGCTTAATATGTTTATCAGTGTTTTTCATTTTATATTGACTATACAGTAAGTATGCAATCACAAAATAGTCCAGTTTATAGTCTGCACTTTCCTGCAAAAGATTGGAAAAAAATAGCCAAATTTTTTGAGTCAAAACTGAAAATTTACTAAAACTTTGTGTGTTAGCTCCAAAAATAGGGTTCCTTTCCAGAAATATTGAAGAATATAAAAAAAAAGGTGCAGAAAAATTTGGGCGAGAAAGTCTGGCGTTGAAACAGTTACATTTTTAAAATATTTTGAACAGGGGGATGTACTAGCAACACGTGCATGTAGAACAGTCTTCTTAGAGATTAGGATTAAATATTAATTGCTTTGATTTAATCTTTTATTGAATCTATTAGTCATAGCATTGACAAATCGCCTAACGCTGGCTTTTTTCCATTTCATCTGTGGAGCCATTCAGCAAGCGGTATGTCAAAATATTGGTTCCTTGTGACGCATACAAGACATGTAAAATCAACAAGAAATTCAAACTTGTCTCGCAATGACTGTGGTGCCCTGAATTTGTAGAAAAAAAAAAGTGTCCTACCTCAAAGACAGATCCAGGCTCAACAGTAATATCTTTACCGAGACAATTCTTCACAATAAACGGTGGGATTACATCACCAACTTTCCTTGAGGATTTTGATGATGGTTGGTCGACTGCTTCACCAAATGCCTGTCAAATAAATTACAATCATTTTAGGGTTGTAGAACACATATATGATGGTTGGTCGACTGCTTCACCAAATGCCTGTCAAATAAATTACAATCATTTTAGGGTTGTAGAACACATATATGATCATAGTTTTATAAACAGAAAGATTAATCACTAGGTTTAACCTTTTCACCTCCAGTTCCCTCTTTTCATCACAAATTTACAATCAAGTAATCATGTTTATAGTCTGCACTTTCCTTCAGAAGATTGGAACAACAATTGCCAAATATTTTGAGTAAAAACTAAAATTTGACTCAAATTTTGTCTGTTGGCTCCAAAATTAGAGTTCATTCGTAGAAATATTGAAGAATATAAGAATAAAGTGCAGACAAATTTGGGCGAGGAAGTCTTGTAGTGAAAAGGTTAACTTTGGTGTTTTTGATGCTACATGTACGGTATACCCAGGTAAATTAGAATCCACAAGGTGTGTCCTAAACCATGAGCACAGAATATCCTTTTTGCTGAGATAATTCTATTATTCTATTATTATTAGTAGAACATGGTGCATTGTGGGAAAAAAAACAAATACTGTGGAATACTTTATTTTCGCTGAAAAGGCTTTTTGGGCGTTTTGCTTGGAATTTATTTTCACTGATTTTTGATGAGATTAATGTAAAATATAGGAAAAAATGTATATTCGCTGGATTTTATTTTCACGGAATCATCCCTTCAGCGAAAATAGCGAAAATAAATTCCAAGCGAAAATAAAGTATTCTACAGTAATGTGTTTTTCAACACAGGTATTACACATGTGTGGCACCGAGAAACAAAATAAGTTAAAATAAAACAGTACATTTCAATAAAATGAAACCAATCATTAAAATGATTAAACTTTTCATTCGTCACACTTTTTTTTTTCGCTACAGTCAAAACATGTGGTAACCAACAGGGGGATAAAGGAAAAATTGTGTGTTCCCAATAACTGATTTTCCCCCTAAACTCATAGCAGAGTTTTGTATAAATATACATGTACACTAATTATAATTTAACTGCGATTTTTGGCATGTGAGAAACACGTCTTTAACCAAATTTGATGTAGCCAAATTTTCTAATGGCTAATGGCTTTATTTCGCTCACAAATTCCAGATAAAGAAGCATGGCACAGTCCCTGTTAGTTATCAAACTTAAGATAAATTTATATAGTTTTGTTTATAGTAATATAGTTGGAAAATAAACATGCCAGAAGTATGGATCCAGCGGCTGATGCTTGATAATAGAAATGACTGACATTGAGCCATCTTGCTT